TCCCTCCCGCGCCCGGGGCCCCCCGGCCGCGCGCCGTGGCCGGGCGGCGGCGGCGGCGGCCTTTCCCTTTGTTCGCCGGGCGCGCCTTCGCTCGGCGCGGCGTGACGCACTCGGCTGGCTCTGCCCCGCGCCCGGGCTGCGGCGCGCTCCCGGGGAGCGGGCGGGGGCTCCAGCGGGGACGACCCGGCGCAGCGACCCGCGGGGGGGCGGGAATCTCGCGCGATGGCGGCGGGGTGGGCTGGATGCGACCCCCGCGTGCTCCGTCGCAGGCGGGCGGGCGCCCTGGTCCCGTGAGCGACTCGTGCGCCTGCTGCACCCCCTCGGCGCGCTTGAGCCCCCGGCAGCCGGCCGCCGCTCCGCATCGCTTTGGCGGACGTGCGCCCAGGAGGACGCGCGCTGCCGGGGCTTGTGCCCAGCGCTCTGCGCGCCGCGACCCCCCTGCAGCTGAGCTGCTGCGCACGAGGCGAACAGGAGCGCAGGATCCGGCCCCTCTGTCCTTAGGGCCTCTTGGCGCACGTCGCGTTTGCCAGAGGCCAAGACCGAGGGCGGGAGGGGGCCGCGGGGGCTTCCTGGCGGGAGCAGTGGGCACGCCGAGGCTTGCCACTCAGCCCCGAAGCGCTCCCGCAACTCGTCCCCCCGCGGTCCAGTCGCATCAGCAGCGGTGGCGGCTTTGGGGGGCTTCAAGGTGGCCCTTGGTGTGGTGGAGGTGTGCGCTTGGTGAGCCCATACCTCCACCGACAGGCGCGGGGAGAGGGAGAGCGGCGGTCGGGTTGGGCGGGCCTCTGGAGCTCTGGGCTTGAAGCGGGGTGACCGCACAGGCCGCGGATGAGCTGTCACCTACCAGCCAGTCACGGGTCTGGGGAAAGGCGGTGGATATTTTGGGCGCCTCGTGATGCTGAGTTTGCCTGCTCGGCGGCTGCTTCCGCAGTTGGGGTGCAGCGAGGGAACCCGGCTCTGCAGTGCAGGAGTGGTCTCCACCGAGAAGCCGGGCGCCACAAAGCTTAAAGCTGTGAGTCGGGCAGTGGCTCCCGTGCATGCGAGCAAGTCCACGTCGTGTGCCTGCTGCACCTGCTCTTCTGGTCGGTGGCCCGCCTGGGATGCGGCAGCCGGACTCCGGCCAGTTCTCGTCCCGGCACGGTTGCGATGAGTGGCGGGAACAGCGGGCGCCCACGGCTAATGGCCTGTAAGGCCAGCAAAGCATGGCTCCTTGAAGGCAAGCCGATGCAGCCGCCTTTGAGAGCATTGCGACCTCCTGGCGCTTGGAAGTAGGATGCGTCTTCCTTTCCCTCAAAACTCTTGATCCAGGCAGGCGTGCAGGATGGGATCCAGAAGCAACCTGCAGCTTGCTCTGGGCCCAAACTGGACCCCCGAGTTTCTAAACGGCTGAACCCGTAAGGTGGCCTTTGAAACGCAGCTTGCGGCACCTGTCCGAGGCGAGCTGCCGAGGGGCCGTTCTGTGGGAGTAGCAGCCCTTGTCAGGACGGGCTGGTGGGGCCGGGGGAGCTTGCTGCCCGGCCTCTGCACCGCGCAGGCCCCTGGGGGCCGGGGCAGCCGGACGTGAATGCCTTGCTCGGGCGCTGGTGCACTTGTGCCGGGCCCCCTCACAGTTGTGTGGCTTCCCAACAGCTTTGTGGTGGGTTGTCGCTTCTGCACCGCAGCACCGTGACGCCCCAGCCGCCCCCTCGGGCAGAGCAGCGAAGCGCATTGACGGGCTGCCTCCCCGCCCTTCAAAGTGAGGCTGCAAGAGGTGGGAGCCCCCGCTCTCCACAGCAGCGGGTTGGGGGGATGATGTGGGATGCGTTGGCAGCTGTGGGACGCTTCGCTCAGCCCCAGCCGTGTGAGCAAGCACTGCCTCGTTCTCCCGCCTGCCCGCATCCCCTCGTGCCTGGTGCCCGCCACCGCCCACAGCGGCCGCCCTCGAGTCGCTGCAGGGCTGGCTGGGCGTGGGTGGACTCCGCTGGGCAGAAGAGGTGGTTCTGGGAGGGGAGAGCCGGGGGGGACACACTCGGGGGGCTGGAAACCCACCCGCTGGCAGGCAGGCTGCAAAACGGAGGCGGTCTCCGTTGGCAGGGTGGCGGGTCCCTCTGCCCTCTTCCCCTTTGGCTTCGCAGCAGGACATGCCTCCGTGCGGGCAGCTGATGCTCCTAGCAGCACGTGCTGTCAGGGCTGGCCTGCCTGGCGGTGCGCTGCCTCTGGAGTCTTGATGGGATGGCACTCGGACTTGCGCCTGCGGGAGACCCTGGCTTGGCAGTCTGGGGTGCCGACGGACAGACAACCCAGAGAGGCAGGCCGGGGCTGTTGCTGGGGCTTTCCTGGGCGGAGAGACCAGGTGCAAGGCGGCAGAGGCGAGAGGCCGCTCCAGCAGCCCTGGTGCGGCCCAAGGGCAGACCGCCCAGCTTGTCCCCTTCCCGGGACGGTCTGTCCGGTGCCGCCTGCTCCTTTGTGCCTGAACCCGGGGATGCCGCGCATGGAGCCCGGAGCCCGATTTCTGCCATGGAGCGGTTCTGCCCTCATGATAGCCAGATTTGTATGGCAGGTCAAGATGCCACTGAAGGACGTCTGAGCTGAGGGCCCCCAGCAGGGTGGCCTTTTTGTGGCTAGGAAGCAGGAGGGACGAAAGGCCCTGTCACTCTGGTGGAGCAGCTCCAGTGACCACTGCACAGAGCACCATCCATGCGCGAGGCGCTTTGGCAGTCACAGGCACTTAAAGCTGAGCGTTTTTCCTGGCTCAAGAGGCTTCTGGACTAAATATGAATAGGGAGGATATTAAAAACCTCCTGCAGCCTTCCCCAGTCGGGTGCCCTGGGGAACTGGTGGAGGTTGTAATCCTGCAGCCCTCAAAGGGCACCAAGGCCGCTACCGAGTTTGCCATATTTTCATCCCCCCAGTAACTAATGCATTCTGGACAAACTTGGCAAGGTTTAAATATCATGGAAACAGTTACTGATACTTAAGAACGAAATAAATACAGCACAACAAACAGCACTGGAATAAATAAAACAGCCACAAAACTAGGTTTCCAAAATGCCTGAGAAGAAGAGAAAGTTTCTTGTTTGGCACCGGAAAGATAACACAGAGGTCAGCCAAACTTCTCTGGGGCGGACATGCCAGAAAGGTGGTAGAAGCGTTTGGGGAGGACCTCTGAAGACAGCCAGATGCTCCGAGCAGGTTTAGGAGGGGTAGGAGAGAGAGTGCTCAGGAACCTGGTTTAGCAAATCTCTGAAAAGTTTTAGTCTTGTGTAAAAGGGTTTTAGCACTTAAGGAAAGAGAGGGGAGATTCTGCTGGCCGACTCAATCAGCCGCAGCGAGGAGAGGAGGTGCCAGTGGCACCTGGACAATGACGCGTCTTTCTCGCAGCCCAGGCGGGGCGCTGCAGTGGACAGGACAAGCCGGCCTACTACGGCTTGTGCCGCGGGGGGTCGTCTGCGTGGGACTGCAGGGCATCTGCAAGCATCCACGTCGGACCCGGCAGCGTGCCCGGTTTCACCTGCTAATACCTGGGGTGCCCGCACAGCGAGACTTGATGAGCCGATGAGGAAGGGCAGAGTGAGCGGCAGGCACGGGCCGGTGGGGGTGCAGTGGGCGGGGGGGCGCCTTCCCAGGCTGGCCACCGGCAACTCCCGGGAATGGCCAGCTGGTTTCGATAGCAGCACTGTTCAGGAGTTCATGCTGTGCACTGGCTCTGGCACGGCCAGCGCGGCTTGCGAGGCACATAAAGCAATTAAATGGCAAAATGAAAACGGGACGTTAAAAGCACAGCCGCAGTGGACGTCGACCGATATTTAAATGGCTGCGGAAGATCAAAGCGGCTCGCCCGCTGCCAAAAGGAGCACAGCCTTCCCTGAGCGATGCCTCCGGAGGGAAACGCCGTCTCGGTCATCGTGCGCCTGGCCTGGGGGGGGGGGGCAGGGCCCCCGAACAGGACCGCACTAGGCGAGCGCGAGCATGTCGGAACCGGGTGTCCTTCCAGTGCGCGAACCCGGGCCGTGCGTGTGGGGATGACGGGCGCTGCTCCGAAGTGAAGGAACGCCGCCGCCTCATGCTCGGCGCAGCGCTGGGCTCGCCTGCTCCCGCCCCTCAAGGCCTCCCCTTTTGTCATTCCAGGAATCCAGGTGCCGCTGAAGACGCCGGCGATCCACCCTGCCAGCGACCCCGGCAGCCAGCATGTCGATCACGGACCACAGCCCCACCACGGGGGTGGTGACCGTCATCGTCATCCTGATCGCCATCGCGGCCCTCGGGGCGCTGATCCTGGGCTGCTGGTGCTACCTGCGGCTGCAGAGGATCAGCCAGTCCGAGGACGAGGAGAGCATCGTGGGCGAGGGGGAAACCAAAGAGCCCTTCCTGCTGGTCCAGTACTCGGCCCGCGGGCCTTGCATGGAGCGGAAGGCGAAGCTGGCTTCGAGTGGCCCCGAGGCCCACGGCTGACCGGCGGCCCCGCGGCGGGCCGATGGCCTGCGCCAGGACGGGTGCTGAGGGCCGCGCTGGGCCACGGCGCTCGCTCGGCCTGCCACGCGGGCCTCGCCGGGAGGCTCGGCGCCCCGTGGGGATCCGTGCCCTGCGCGCGCGCGATATGACGTGACGTGATGCGACGCTCCTTGTTGCTCCGGGACTCGCTTCTCTTTCCGGAGCAGGGCCCATTGCCGGCGATGGACACACAGCAGCGTGCGAGGCTGTCCGGCTTGTTACTTGAAGATGCCACTGAGCCTCCGGGATGGAGCTACTGATGTAATGTGAACTTGCACAACTGTGAACTGTGTGTACATAGGTGGCGGTGTGCGTGCGTGCGTGCGCGTGTGCTGTGCTCCGCGCACATGGGAATGAAGTGAATGCGCTTTCGCAGATGCAGCCCTCCCGGATTCAGGAGACGCATGACCGCGAGCGGGATCTCTCCGGAGCCAAACTGAGGGAGTGTTTTGCTGCTTTGGGGTCCTGGTGGGGAATTTCTGTAGCAGCCGTGGCAAGACGCGGGGGGGGGGGTTCTCTGGGCTCGACGCCATGTAGAGCTGCAGCTTCCTTTTGCTCCCGTGTTCATGCCAGCGCCCGCACAGCCCCCCGGGGAGAGGCATGTGCTTGCAGGCGATTCGGAGGATGCGCTCGCCACACGGTTTGCTCTTTCTCGCCAAGCCGGTGACAGCTGTGCTTCAGGCTGCTGGGAGGCTTGGTCAGTGGCCGCCAAGCGGGCCCGTTGGGAAGGAGGGCCGTTTGAGGCGGAGAGGCTCCTCGCCGGGCCTTCCCCGCTGGAATGTGCTTTCACGCAACTGGTCCCCCACTGGCCGCCCACTGCACTGATGTTTACATGTGCTCCTGGCCATTGGGACACGTGTAAGCGAGCTCGTCACCATCACCCCACGACTTTGCCTCCGCTTGAGAGATGTCAGCCAGTGTATTTTGCAGAGAAATGCGTTTGTCTTCTCCCGTGATAGGGCTTCCGTAAATAGCTAAATGTAGGGGAGGGAGTGGGAATGGAAAGGGAAGTCAGTACTGTGTTTCCTTAACGTCTGTCACTGCCGAGTTTCCTTGACCCTTGATGCCAGTTTCCATACTAATCCACCTGTATTTTTGCTAAGTAATTTGGCAGGAATGAGGCTGTTCCCCTCAACCCAGTTTTCAAATCAGGCCTTCGGCTTCCTTCTAGCTCTCACGCTTCTTGGCAGCCATTTGCTCCACGTAGGACAACGCTGGCCCGGCCCAGAGAAGGCAGGCACGCTCCCTGTCCGCACCGCTGTGCGCGAAGCTGCGGCCAGGGGGGCTCGAGACGTTGGCTCGCAGCCGCCGGAGTCGGAGGGGCCTGGCCAGCAGGGCCGTCCTTGCTCTTCTCGGTGGATGGTGCCACCCCTTTCCAAGGGCTGCTACTTCCATCTGAGCTGGTAGATTCACTTCCTGCTGGTTTCCTGTTTTCTGCTGTGAGGTTGACACGCTGGCCTAGCCTAGCACCCGAGAGCAGGGACAGCGAGAAGGGCAGGCACTGGAAAGAGCTGGGTGGCCAGAGTGCCTCCACGCAGGCCAGTGGGTGCCGGCCCAGCCAGGGGGAGCGCAAGGGGAGCCGCCGGGCCCGGGCGATGGTTGCCCTTTCATGGCAGGATTTGTCTTGAGCATCCTCTACTTTGCCCCTGCATCCATCTATTTTCCAAAGAACTTGCTGAGCGTCTCAGATATGCGAGGACTGGGACGTTAATCCTTCGTCGGCAGTGGAAGAGCGAAACGCCAGCAAGCGCCGCCGGCGGACGTGTTGCCTGGGATGGCGTGTTGCCATGCAACACACCCGGAGGGAGCAGGCGCAGAGAACCCAGCCGGCTGCCGTGTCCCGAGCTGGACACCTGGCACGTTGAGCCAGTGGCTCCCGGGGTCCCTCAGCCCTACCCGAAGATGCTGGGGCTGGGCCCGGGCCCCTCTGTGCGCCAGGCAAGGCCTCGGCTATTCCGCACAGCCCTCCTGTGATCTTGGAGGCATCTCCAAGCCGCTGGCTGGTCTTTGGCAGGCAGCAAACAGCCTCCCGGAGTCCCTGTGGCTAGCGGCCACCTCCACAGGTTTGCCCAGTGTTCTTAAAGCCACTGAAGCCCGGGGCCACGGGCCGGTTTCCCTGCAGCTCTGAGAGGGCCCTCTGCCAGGATGCCCTGCCCACGGCACTGGGGCTGTGGACTCCTTGCTGGGTGCAGCTGGCCACGGGGAGTTCTGACAAGGGGGACGGCTGCTCGGCTGCAACACGGGCCTCGCGTATGTGGGTGGGACACGGTCCAGCTCGTCTCCCCCTGCTGCCTGCTTTCTCTCTTCTGAAAGAGGACACGGAAGCCTTTGCTGAGGGTGAACCCCGAGGGTTAGGCTCAATCCTAACAGAAGGCCGAAGCTCAGAAAAGAGAAAGTGAACCAGCTCGAGCAGCCCCTTTAATGTTTCTCCCCCATTCAGCTTCACCAAGTACACACGAAGTGGAGCAGCCTCTCCATTCTGCAAAGAAGTCAGAAGATGCTGCAAATTACCCTGCTGGGCAGTTTCCAGGATGCACGAGCCAACGTTACCTTAACCGATGGAGATCCAGGCGGGTTTGTCCCAGGGGTGGGGTGGGAGGAGAGAGGAGTTTCGCACTGCCGTCCTCCAGCCAAATTGTTTTAATTTAGGTTAAATCGATACAAAATCTATCAAATTAGTGCAATAGCAAAGTGCAGAGAGCAGCCCCCGGACAATTGTGCCTCGTAGGTCTCACGCTCTGTCCATCCAGTTTATGGCTCATTATAAAAATATCCTTTGATTTTTCTTATCTAGTACAGCAAAAAAAAGCTTTACATTGAAGTTTCAATAAAAGTTTGCATAAAGACTCTTCCTGGTGGAGACCACACTTGATCGGCGTGGGCCGGCCCCTGCGGGGAGGCTACTCCGTCCAGTTCTCCTTGGCGTGCTCTGGGGCCAGCTGGCTCTCCAGGTGGGGGCTGTCGCTCTGCTCCGCGGCCCCGAAGCGCTCGGGCGCCCGCGCCGCCAGGCCGGCATCCTCCGTGGGCAGGCTGACCTCCGGCTGCGGCTCTGGCCCCAGCTTCCGCTCCATGGAGGCCAGCAGCACCTTGAGCAGCGTGTTCTCGGCCAGCAGGCTCTCGGAGGCCTCGGCCAGCTCCCGCAGCTTCTCGGCCAGCTCCTCCAGCTCGCGCGACTTCTGCTCATACAGCCCCTGCAGGTGCTCCTGGTGGCTCTGCAGGGCGCGCGCCTCCTGCTGCAGCCTCTGCCCCTCCCGGCGGGCCTCGGACAGCTGGGCCTGGGCCTGGGCCCGGGCCCGGTGCAGCGCCTGGCTCTCCGCCCGCAGCCGCTCCACCTCCTGCTCCAGGCGGGCGATGCGGCCCTGCTGCAGCAGCGACTCCCTCCAGAGGCAGCCCCGCAGGCAGGGCTCCGGGCCGGGGGCGGCGGGCGGCGGGCGCGGGTGGTGCAGGATGAACTTGAGGAGGTTGGGGAGGGTGAGGGGGGCCCCGGCTGGGAACCTGCTGCTTTGTTCCTTCCTGGGGGGTCAGAGAGAGGGGGGTGAGGCCGGGCGGGGGCAGCGGGTCTCCGCACACGGGGCTGGAAAAGGCCTGGCTGCTCGGTGCCACAGCCGCCCTGTGGAGGCCGCAAGCCAGAGGCCGTGCTCTTCCCGCCATGCAGCTGCTCCGAGGCTGGGGGGGGGACGCTGGGCCCCTGGAAGGGCTTGGCTGAGCTTTCCGCGGCCCCCCCACAGCCCTTCTCACGCTCCTGTCCCTCAGCAGGGGGGCGACAGGGGCGGCAGCAGCACGATGAGGCGGAGATTGCCGACCGGGCCCGGCTCAGGCTCTTGCCTCTGCTCGGCCGCCCCCTCGGCGCAGCGCTGCCCTGACCTCGGCCCCCGCCCCCGTGCTCTGGGGGGGGGGAATGCTGCCTTGCCCTGTGGGGCTGCTGGATTCCAGCCAGATCCCTCTGAACCCCCCAAAGCCCTGCACAAAGCAGATCTGATGGAGGCTAGGGAAACGCACCTGCCCAGAGGGGGGGCTGCTGCTCTCGCTCGGACCCCGGGGCCACTGAGCGGCCTTCCCTGGGCCAGCTGGCACCCTCCAGGCGTGGGGATTTTCACTCACATCAGCGCAGCCAAGGAGCAGGGATGGGGGGTGTTGCTCCAAGCATCGGGAGGGTGCCAGGTTCGGGAAGCGAGGTTTGATGGGTCAGGACCCTCGTGAGACAAGCACACCTTTCCTGGTGCTTCCGAGTTGTGCGCGAATATCTGGGAACGCGTTGAGCGCACGCACGGGACCCCCGTCGTGAAGCTTCTGGGACCGCGGCTGGCCCAGAGTGCCTCCTGAGGCAGCAGCTGCATTCACTCGTGGGCCCGTCCACTACGCTCCGTGGCAGCTCGGCCCACAGCCTTCAAACTGCTCGGATGCGGCTCCGCATCTGCTTGGACCGACCTGCTTCCCTGAGGCAGGAGGGCAGGCTGGCCCATGCCCCCTCTCCGGGAAGGACCCTGGCTGCCTCGCTCAGCCCCTGTGCAGCCCTCACCTAACACATCCTAGTCAGAACCCCCCAACTGCCTCTTCATGCAAAGGAAATGAGCAGAGCAGAGCAGAGTTACCTGTCATGGGGGAAAAACAGGACGTTGGGGAGGTGGTCCGTCATGAATTCCCAGGGCAAGTCATTCTGAGAAACATCGACCCTACCGAAACAGCAAAAGAATAAAAATGCACGGATTACAAAGGGCCCCTGTTCTGCGGTCAGGCGTGACCTGCTCGCAGCAAAGCCCCATCAACTCCAAGCAGGAAACGGGGGCGCAACAGTCGCTCCCGGTAAACAGCGAAGGGATGGGATGCTCGTATTCCAAGCCAGCCAGAGTGAACTGGAAGGACCAGTTCTTTGGCACAGGATAAAAGCAACTTCCTGTGCCCAGGATAAAAGAGACTTCTGAAAAAACATCTGGAGAACCACGTAAACAAGACCCGGGAACAAAACATTCCATGGGTTGTTGCGTGGCTCTGCTTGGAGCGACAGGAGGGATGCCGGAAAACTGCACACTGGCAAAGCGTGAACCGTCCGGCACAGCAAACCTTTAAGGAGCAAAGCATCGAGGAAAACGGAAGGCTGTCCCCGAATGTCTTTTCCCAGGGACTTCTCCCCATCCGCAGGACAGGCCGGGCTGGTGTGCTGATGAGGAACATCGGCCGATACCACCCAGTCTGGCTGAGCTGGCCGTTCTGGTCCCAGGCCGTGCTGAGCGAGCCTCTCGGCTGAAGCGATGGGTGCTTCCTGTCTGGCGGCTCGCAGCGGGGTCAGAGCTGAGTTTACGCAATCGCGTCTCACACTCCACACAGACGGAGCAGCCGCGTTCCACTCCGGAGGGGCTCCCCGCAGCACGGCCACGCTCCCCCAGCATCGGCCAGCAGGTCTGACGTTGAGCCCGCAGCCTCCGCAGGCCTCCCCCTTCCCGAGCGGCAACATTGGGAAGGGGGCAGTTTGCCTGCTCTCCAGGGACGGGGGCACTAACGAGCGGTGCCACCATGCTTGGGCCCAGCGGAGTTGGAGGTCTTGCTTCTGTCTAGACTTGTGCCCCAAGGAGGCCGGCCAGCCATGGCCTTGTTATTTGCTTGGAAATACGGTGGGTGAGCAAGCTAAACTTTGGAAAGGCGGGAGGAACAGACATGCTTAATTAGCTGGTGAGCAGTCTCTCAAAGGGCAAAGCTTAAAATACACAACCCTGTAATCTGCCCATCGATTGCTTTCGAGTCACACTGCGGCGGGGAGCGCTCGGAGCCGAGCCGGCGAGGGCCGCTCAAGACGACCGCAGCAGCCCAGGGCCGTCTAGCCCCGGATTCGCAGCGATGGGGAGAGCCCCCTGCCCAGCCAGGCTTCGGAAGCTGTTTCGGTGCTGGCGCTGCCAGACTGGGGACCTGGCAGGGCCGGGTGTGGGCCTCTGCTCAGCCACGAATCTCACTGGGTGACCCCGGGCCAGTCACTCGCTCTCGGCCTAACCGACCTGGCAGGGCTGCTGGGAGGGCATAATGGAGCGACGGAGGCCGTCCTGAGGGGCTCAGCGGGGGAAGAGAGGTGGCATTTGAGCGCAGGGTTCCAGCCCTGCGAGGGCACCGGGCACGACCAAGCATACCTTGCCACAGCGAAGTTCTCGGGAGGCAGGATCCGCGCGAGCTGGATGAAGATGTGGCTCAGAGACATGCAGAAGCCGCACCACGGCGCGTAGTACAGCAGCAAGACGCTCTGGAAGGCACGGGGGGGGGGGCAGGTGAGCCAAGATCTCCTGAGCACAAGAGGCCAGGCATCAAAATCGCTTTGCTAAGTCGCAGCTCCCCTTGCCTGCCTTCTTCCTGCCGGGGGGATATCACTGCTTTGGTGCCCCCGACTGGGACGCAGGGACAGAGAGCAGCCGGGCCTGCACCTGTCTTCTCCCCCGTATTTCTCTCTCGTCCAGCCACTACAGAGGTACCCTGCAGGCTGCAGTTCTACCCAGACACCAATGAGAAACAGCTGCAGTCAGAGTTATGGGGGGGGGGGCTGGCATGGGAAAAACGAGTCACATGGCACTGTTTCCCCAGGAAACTGAGCACAGGAAATGTGGATCCGGTGGATTTCATCCACAACCTCACAACAGCCCTGTGGGGAAGGACAGCAGGTGCCCCGAGTCGCCCAGGCTGAGCTTCGTGGCTGCGTGGAGATGTCACCCCAAGCAGTGGTGGCTGCTTCCTGGGCAATTTACAACCGTCCGACGCGGCCGCCGCGCCACGGCCTCGCACACACCTGCCGTTGGAGGCTACGAAAAGCAGCAGGGGCTCCCAAAGAGCCGCGGCACCCCCAGCCACAGTCCACGCACCTCGCGCGCGTTACCTTCTCGCTCTGCAGCACGGCCTCGTGGAAGGTCTCGGTGGTGACTTCTCTGATATGCTGAGGGCGAACGGGGCCGGGCCGCGCGTCGCCAACGAGGTGCCTTTGCAAGGGACTGTACACAACACTGTAGTTTTGAATGAAGCTTTCTAAAAATGAGAGCCAAGGGCCAAGAGGTTATTTTGACACGTCACGGAAGGGGAAGTTAAGCCCGAGAAGCAGGTGGTTCAAGTCCGAATTCTGGCAGGCCCTTTCCATGCCTACGTAGGAAGTCACGGTCCACAAGGAAGGAGAAATACGATGCATTTCTCATTCCTCGTCTTCGATCACCGTCTGCCTGGTGTGCACATTCTGGGCTTCTGCCAGCATGAAAATTAGCTCCACGGGAAGGGCTGAGCACCCTCACGAACTTAAAAGTTTTAAACAATGAAAGCACCAAGCCTACACTGCTCGTCCTCCTGTTACCAAGCAAAGCACGTGAGCCAACCGCTGATAACGTCTCGGGAGAGCTGGCTGAAGCTCGCCATGGCCGGGGGCGGCTCCGCAGCTGCCCCACCCCACACCCCGCTCTTCCCCGCCGCTCGCTGGGGGCAGCCCAGATCAGCAAGGCAACGGACCGGGCGCGTTCGTGGCCCGGCTCCCGGCACAGGACTCGGCTTCCTCCAGGACTCTTCCACGGCGGCTCTCTTGGGTTACGACGATTGTATCAGGAAGTCCGGGTGCAGCATAATTGCGAACGACCCTCCACGGCAGAGCATCTCGTGCTCAGCAAGGCTCCCTCAGACCGCAGATAAAATGTGGGAACAGCAGGGGCGCTAAGCAGTCAGTGCGTGCATTAAGGCATTTCTCTCCACAGAGGCACGCTGCTGCGCGGGCCAAGGACGCACAAGGCCACGCCTGGCTTGGCACCTCGACAGCGCCCACGGCAGCCCGGGCAGCCTCGCCGGGAAGGCCCCATCCTGTGCCCCCGGAGGCACGGAGCACGCCCCCCGCGCCGTGAAGGCTTGGCTTAGGCAGCCAGGTTGCCTCCGAGCCGGTCAAGAGCCTGGGCCCAGCTGGCGAGAGCAGCGAGCAGCACGGCCTTCACAGTGGTGTCCCCAGGGGGCGTGTCCCGCGTCCCTAAGGAGCCAGTGGGTGGCCCCTGCCTTCACGTTGCGCATCCGCCCATGCCGCCTCCAACGGGCCGCTGTTCGGGGTGCGAGTGGTTTCCGGGGACCAGCAAAGGGGGCTCGCTTCCCGGCCCACCTGCTCCCGCCCCACTTGCTGCCGCCAAGGCTCCCGCGGCGTGGAGCCCCTGCCTGCGGGGAGCAGTGGCCCCGGGCAGAGGGCCTCCCGGGGAATGGGCTGCCGGGGAGCCTCTCCTGCCACCAGCATCGCGTGAGCGTGCGACGCACTCTTCACGCGCCTGCCGCGAAGCTCTGGCTCGTGACGCTGCCTGCTGCGTCCTCTTTCACGAGGTCTCCCACATCCTTCCCTTAAGACGCCCCAACGAGCGGAGCAAACGCTTTCAAACATCAACAGCCGGCGTGGCGCAGCGGAAGCCCCCCGAGGGGCACGGCGGCCCATTCAAGCCCACGGCCCGACTTCCCCGCAGGAGCGGCTTCCCCAGGACGCCCTCGACCGCGAGGCACCTGTGCACAGAGCGCCCCGGGGGCAGACCCTCCTCCGCAAGCAGGCAGGCAGGCAGGCAGCAACAACAGCTACTGCACCTAGAGCCGCCCTCCGCAGGGCCTGGCTTTGATCCAGGACGTAATGCACCTCCTCCGCCAGGTCCACGATGGCGGCAAACTCCTTCACGGGGGCGGCCCTCGGGGCTCCCAGCCTCTCGGCGTACATCCAGGAGAGGTTGGAGTCCAGCAGGTAGAGGTTGAGAGTCTTGTTGGTCCTGCAACTCAGGCCGGTAAAGTTTGCGCCGCAGAAGGTGCTGGCGGGGCGAAGCCCGTGCCCGTCCTCAATGTGAGGGGCAGAGCTCCAGGGCCGGTCCTTCCATCTCTTCCCATGGGAAGCAAATGCCGCTCCCGGGCGCCGGGCGGGCGTCTTCTCGGCCCCGCCAAAGCCCAGCAGGCCCCGGTTCACCGTCCTGCAGCAGGCCGTGTAGTGGCTGAAGGGGCTGTAGAAGCTGAGGAAGTTGCTGCAGAAGGAAACGGTCCTCGACACGACCTGGAAGAAGGTCCGCTCCCTGAGGTAGAGCGAGTCCACGGCGGCCTCGATCTCCGAGAAGCTACAGTGCGGCCCGCCCAGGCGGCTGGGCCGGACCCCCGCGGTCTGGTTGACGCACAGCTCGCAGACGTTGTGCGTCCGGGAGATGGCGTGCCACTGCGGGGGCAGCACCACCGTGTGGCAGCAGGGGGGCCTGGCGGCAGAGGCGGCTTCTGCCCGGGGCAGGGGCAGCCCTGCAGCCGCCAGGGGCTCTCCTTGCAGGTGCTCCGCGTCCGGCCCCCCTCGCTGGCTTTGGTTGCAGCTGTTGTACTCCAAAGCGAGCCTGAACATCTGCAGAGGGAGGAAAGAAAACCACATGGGCCTCGGGCCTCGCCTGAGCGGGTCACCATCACTCTCCTGCAGGACGGGAGTGGAAGACGCCCACCAGAGCGGGGAGGGCGCTCATCTCTCCAAGGGAGAGGGGGATCTGGACACACACGAGGGTGTGATTTTCGCTCCTCCTGCTTGCTGCCCCTGCCCCAGGTCCAGAACACGCAGGCCACCCTCCGGGAAGCTTGTCAGCCAAGCAGAGGCCCTTACAAGGAACCATGGGCAACCCGAAAGCAGGGGGAAGGAACGGAGATGGCCACCGTGTCTTAGAATGTGTCGCTCGTCCCTACGAATGCAGAAGGCAGCACTGCCAGACTGGCTTCCCGCCCGGCCTGCAAGAGGGGCCCGCAGGGCGCGGTGGGCAAGGGGCAGGCACAGCCCCGGAACCAGGGCGCCTTGCCACGCGGCTGGAAGGCCAAGCGCTCCCGAGGCGGGAAGAAAAATCGCCAGCACTCCTGGCGAAGAGAAGCTGCTGCCCCTGTCAGTAAGCAAGTTACGCCAGATGCCCCCGAAAGCGGGAGGAAGCCCGGCTGCCCCATTTTGGGCCAGGAGCAGCAGCCTGCCTCCGCCAGCACGGCCAGGAGTCCGCCTTTCGCGGGCGCATGGCAGCCCCGCACCAGCAAACACAGGGGACGCGGCTCACGCGGGGCCTCGTCCCGTGCGCCTGGGAGCGTGCGCCGCGTGCTGGAGGCTGCCGAGCAAGGCTGCGCGGAGCTGCCGCAGAGGCCCTCACGACCGCGGAGCAGCCCCACGGCTTCGCTCCTCCCCCCGCGTCAGGGGGCGAGGGAGCCGGCGTCGCCACTGGCGGCAAAGCCAAGCGTGTGGCGGGCACGAGAGGAACCAGGCGCCGCACAGCCCTCGCCCTTCTTCCGTGCCGCTGGATCTCGGCGTGTCCCCCAGACCGCCCCGCCCCAGCCTCCCCCGACGGCGAGCCAGCGCTGCCCCCGCAGGGAGAGGCCTTTGGCCCGGGCCGCGGAGGAGCCTCAGCCGGGCCGCTGCGCCGAGGGGGCTCTGTGGGTGGGCTGGGGCCTCCCGGGCATGGCTCACCTCATCCACGAGGGGGTGGCTCTCCGCCAGGGGGTCAAAGGGGAGGAACAGGAACAGGGCCGGGCCCTTCTTCAGCTCGTTGTGCAGCAGGAGGCTCTTCCCGCCGTGTGGCCTCAGCCAGCGGATGAACGTCTCCTGGTTCTCCAGCGCCCACCTCCAGATGTCCTCCGCAGTGCAGTTCATGGCCTCATGCGGGTAGAGCTGAGGAGAGGCAAAGGGCGTTCCTGGCGCCGTCGGCCACTCTCACAAAGACCGACACGCTATTTCCTAGGAGGGGCAGCTTCTGCCTGTGCTTCACCTGACCCCAGACGGTCAGGGCGCCTCGGTTTTACGGTAACGCGCATGTTAGCACGGCCCACGCTCCCCACCCAGCTCAGCGTGCCCTTTCGGCCTGTTTTGCACTGGAGAATAAAGCTGAGGAGGCAAGAGGCTGGGAGTTTGCTCATGGCACAGAAACGCCTCAAGCGACGTGGGATTTTGCTTACCCGGCATTTCACCGCAAGGGAAAAAAACACACCGCATCCCCTTCATTAAAATATTTGGCAGAAAGGGAGAGAATGGTGCCAGTGCTTCTGCATACAAAACAGGACTGACCTTGGCTGCGGTTATATAAGCAGACTCATTTCCCTTATTAGATGCTCATTCTCTCCCCCTGCTCTCATGTGCTCCGTCCCCCGCACACACTTGCTTCGGGGACACCCGCTGTTCTGAGGCCTGCAGCACCCACCGGCCGACCCAGCGGCAGATGGCTTCACGCACGCCTGCCTGCCGGAGGCCGCTTCGCCATGGGGCAGCCACGCCAGCTGACAGGGAGGCCTGGGGCTGAAGCTGCTCTCAGAGGCCCAAAGCCTTGGCGCCTGTCCCCAGGCACCACTCCTCTGCCTGGCATGTCTGCCTGCCTGCCTGGCACTGGCTGCTTCGCCGCACAGGGAGAGCAGGAGGACAGGCAGGGAAGGGCGTTACTCACGAGGGAGGCGCTGAAATGCCTGTGCAGGTAGACGCTGCCAGAGCTGGCGAGGGAGATCTCCTCCGCAATCAGCCTGTCCGTGATCACCCCAAAGTGGATCGTTCCAAGGTGATCTGGAAGAGCCAGGCAGTGGAGATCAGGGAAGGAAAGCAGGACGACGCAGCGGGAGGGAGGGAAGCCACCGTGCCGGGAGGGGTCTCTGGAAAACGAAGGCACCCCCCCCATTTCCAGCTTGGAGAGGAAACAGGAGCACAGCCCTTATGCTGCTGTTGCGCTTCTACACCGAGCTGTGGGTGGACAGCATAATCCAGGCTAAAATTCAATCCGAAGAGAACTCGGGAAATTGGAAAAAAGCTACAGCAGGAATTGCGAAGATAAGCATGTGGCCGTCCCCGTGGAAAGCGACTTAAAACCCTTTGAGGTGCGAAAGCAGGAGAAGAGCCAGGAGCAGCACTTGAGGCCCAAACCCTGCGGTCCCTGGAGTGGGTGTTCTTTCCTTCCGCCCTCACATCCACATCACGGACGCATGAAAATGTCAGGGATGAACATTCTTCTGAGAATTAACACATTAAGCCAAAGCAGGAGGCAGCGAGGCCAGAAACCTGAGCGTGAGCCTCTCGCCCTGGCAAAGCCTTCCGTTAACAGACGGCTCACGCGCTGGAGCGGCCCACCAGCTCCGCTCCTGGAAAGGCGGGCGTGAAGTGGAAGGAACAGGCGGCCTTCCCCCCGGGCACCAAGCGGTTCCTGCCGGCTGGGGTTTGTTCCGGCCCGCTGCCTGGAAGCCAGCACCTCAGCCCGGGCCCTCGACCGAACCGAGGCCCGAGAAGGGCTCCGCGGTCGCCTCCGCGGCCTTTGCTGCCCCTTTGCTCCCTGCCAGCCCTGAAGCACCATGCGCTTCGGTGCCAGGCCTGCTGCTCTGTGAGTCGGCACGGCAGAGCCGAGGACGGCAGCAGCGCACGCACCTCCCCAGCACAGCGCTGGGAAGCAGAGCGCCCGAGGCATGAAAAGGCCGTCTCCCCAAACGCCGTGGAAACATGCCACAGAATATCCACGTGGGAACCAAAGCATCTGGGGCCCGTGGGCATGTCATGCCCGAAAATTCAGAAGAAAGATAAGAGCGCCGGGTTTCATCTGCCTGAGGAGCAAGGATCTGCTCAAGGTGAACATGACCGGAAGCGAGGGGCTCGCCCCCAGTCAGGCCAAGGGAAGAAGCCTCGCTGGGGAAAGGAAGGTGAACCGGGGCGGGGGGAGAGTGCTTAGAGCTCCGGGGGCCCCCTGCCGGGGCTCGGCTGCCCCGTGCCGGAGTCCGCGTGGGCCCTGAAGGGCGCCTGAGTGGCGTGGCTGGGTCACAGCGGGCAGCAAGAGGCCCCCGCGCGTTCACAAGCTGAGCACGCGGGCCGTGGAGAAGGGGAGGAAGCGCGCAGGAGGGGCAGGGGCAGTCCCCGGGAATGCGCACAGCCGGGGCCATTCGTCCTTCCAGGCTCAATTGGCCCTCCACTCAGACCCACAGGACGACCTTTATCTTCGTATCGGACTTACACCCCGGCTGCCTTCTTCTCACAAAGAGCAAGGGCGCTTTCGGGTTCACCACCACTTCGTTCTATCCCCACAGCAGCAGCCCCGTGAGGAGGGCGTCACTTGGTGGCCCAGAGCGCTCCAGGGCCTGGCGGGGACCAGGAGTGGCGCCTTCCACGTGCTGCAACCAAGGCTTGCCGGCTTTAGGCAGAGTGCAAACTGCGGCGAGAAATGCCGCCCGTCTTTCTGGCCCAGAGCTCCCACCAAGACCCCTTGCGATACGTTGAGCCCATTGTAACTTTCCAACACGCTTCTGTGATCCTTTCCACGCCAAGCCGATCCAGCCTGCGGTGAAAAGCCAATCTCGATTCTGCAACAGGAGCCCTAATGACGTTGCTGCTCCTGCAAATGACAAGAGCCAGCCCGGGCTCGTGTCATTTCGCTGTCCGTGAGCTGAAGAGATCTCCGCTCCAAGAGTGCGCAAAATCACAGGGGACTGCGTTGGATGAGCTCCAAGGCGAGCAACCCGCTGTTCTGCTCCCACTGCTGCCAGCTGCTGCGCGGAAGCCCACAAGGCCACCACCGCCCCCTGACCCACATTCCCCAGCCACTGCCCTGGAAGGCGAGGGCTAGAGATGGCACGGGCCCTCCTGCCTCGCGTCCTCACGGTCTCTCTCGGTCCCTCTGAGCTACTGCCTCTGCACCACCCTTGCTTTGCGCCCATCAGCTGCATGGGACGGCCCCTCTGGGTTCCAGGCGACTGGCTTTCCCCTCACTGGGAAGCGCTTTATCAGCCCTCTCCCAGCCAGCCTCCTGTCCCCACACCGCCTGCTAAGACCAGAGGCCCCAAATACCACAGCACAGCTGCTCTGATCCCCAGATCACTTCAATGGCCTCTTGCCACACCTTTTCCGTCTCTGTCGTATTACCAGAAATACAAGGTGCCCACAAAAGGCACCGCTTGCCGCGTGTGGGCAAAGCTTTTACTTACCTTTATTTAATGAATGCAGCGCAGAAGTAAAGAATGTCAGGTAACCAGGGGGCTGGGGAGAAGCATTGAACTCAAAATATCCCAAGACTCCAGGCTGCAAAAAAAACGAGAGCAAACTGAGTCAAGGGCACTGCTGTGACTCACAGTCGGGAAGGGAGAAAGAAAGCTAAAGCCGCCAGGAAGGGCCCTGCCCAGCCTTGCCTTCCAAAGCTGCTCTGGTTCCCAGGGAGCCCGAGAGCAGACGACCCTCCCCACCAGTAGCAGGGCTGCACTTGGCATAACGGCTAACCCCAAAAGCCCGAAATGACGGGACGACAGAGCTAAGTTACCTCGTAATTGGAGAGGAACTGTTGCAGTTTTGATCGAGATGAGACATACAGCAAGGGAGTCATCACTCGGCGAACAAATTTTTCAAGGTAAATGGCATTCATTGGGCCTTTGTATTCGATAGGCCCAAAGCTAGTACGAAAGAAGAGCAAAAGCACACTCTGTCAAGAGTTTAAGCACTAAATTGGCCCCTAGCTGTGGAAGGCGCTTCCCAGAGGAGCTGCTCGGCAGCAGGCAAAGGAGCCCTTCTCGTTTTCCTAGGAGTTCTGGGAAGTCCGCCCAACATTTTGCATCGCATTTGGAAACGCCGTACTGCTGCCAGCCCTCCCTCTCTTACCGTGGGCATTCCCACAGAGGTTGCAACACGCTGCACTTAACACCACACAGAATCCCCTTGACCTCGCTTGAGGCAGGGAAGAGCGCTGCTGGCCAAAGGAGCCAAGGCGCCCCACGGAAGAGCGAGCGAGTGCGCGCGCCACACAGGACGCCCACGGTCCCGCCGGGTGAGCCACGCTGCGAGCACCGGTCCTCGCAGGCGGGCGCTGCGGGAGGGCGCTGCTCCACTCCCCCAGGCCGGCACAGGTCCCGCCCCGCAAGGAGCCGCTCTGCCCAGCCACGGCAAGGGGCGTCGGCGAGACTCTCACCTCCGATGGTACAGATATATGACAGGGAAGTAAAAGAAGTGCTTCTGCTTCCGGCATTTCCCCTGGTTCCACCAGCAGTTGATTGCCACAAACAGCACCTGTGGAGGGAAAGCCACGCATGGTCGGCGGAACCCAGGGATCCCTGCGTGGGGCAAGAGGCCTGCAGGGCAGAAGATGAGCTGAGCAACTGCAGGAGGAGCAGGTGTGATCCCGAGAACTGCCCCCTCGTTCCCCACCAGGGAGCCCAGGAGAACTTTTACTTGCAGCACTGGGTGGGCTGGGGGAGAGAAGAGGGGCTGTGCCCAGAGTGAGCCAGGTGAAGCAGAGAGCCCGTGGCCAAGCCCAAATGGCCCAGTGAGCTTTAGGACCAGGGCTAGGGTTCCCATCACAGCCCATGGCCAACCCGCCAAAGATTCACACACGGCCACCCAAGTGCAGAACACCTGAAAACATCTTGTGATTTACTGGACTTCTTAGAACCTTTTGGCAGAAGATACACAAGGCATCTTACAGGCAATCGCCACGTATTCCAGCCTCTGGTTTCCCAAACGCAGAGCTGGATACCTTGGAAGGCAGCAGGAAGGGAACAAGCAGAAGAGGAGAGGTGGCAAGACGGGGCTGGGATTGAACTAGCGAAGGGAAGGAGTCCGCACAGGCGGAAATTCTTTGTAAAGAAGAAAACGGGCGGGAGGCGGGAGCGCCTTCGTGCCCATTCCACAGTACCTGGTCGGCCAGGTGGCTTGCCACTATCTCAACCTCCTCCCTGGCCGCAACGGACTGCCCACACCACGGAGCGTAGAAAAAGAACAGCGTGACTTCCGAGTCCTGGCGGATGTCCTCCGCGTGATCCAGCTGCCCCAGGAAGAGGTCGTGCACTGGAGACACGGAAGAGAAGAAGCTCACCGGGAGCCTGGCCGACATCGTCACGTCTTTTGTGCGGCTGGGGAGAGCGGAGAAGGGCAATCAGGCGGTGTCTGCTGGGCATCACGAGCCCACCAGCGCCGCAGCCTCTGCTTTCTCGCACCTGGCTGGCTGGCAAAAGCTAAAAAGGAGCAAGGTATCTGCTGCCACAACTCTGACCAGAGTAACTGGTTTCATATCAACTTGTTACTCTAGATTATACACCTTACGGAAAATCTGACAGAAGCTGATCCACATTCCTGCCAGGCCAGCCCCGTTTCTCACCGGAATCCCTCTGGGGAAGCCTGGGGACATATTGTGCGAGCAAGAGCCCTCGTCCGCAGCTGTCTGCCAGCAACTGGTGGCCACTTATAGGCGTCTCCTGCACGAATTTACCTGCTCCCGTTCCGGAGTTATCAGAGTCAGTGGCACCCGCCACATCTTCAGGCAACGAACTGCCAAGGCCTGCTACTTGGGGTACGGAGCACCTCCTTTTGTCTGCCCCTTCCATTCTATTTTAGTGTGACCTGTTTAATCACCCTTATTTATGCCCTGCTTCTGGAGATCCTGGAAATGCCCGGTTTCCTGCAGTGAGGAACAGAATCCCACACTTTCAGTTGGCCCTGAAACATCTTAAGGATTCAGGCTGAACGGATGGAAGAAACTGCGGAAAAGTTTGCGGGGTGCAGCTTTCCTGATGCACAGCAGCAGTTTAAAGAAGGGGAGCCCTTGCAAGTTACACAGAGATTCAGCCGAAGCTGACCTCCCGGCACCTCCCACTGGCTCCCACAATGATGTATCGCTGTGCTTCACTGCCTGATTATTTGCATAACAACAGCAAGAAGAGCATAATCATAACAGTGAATCACTGTTATTTTTACAAAGCCACCTATTCTAGAGAGTTAAGTTTATATGAACGGCATTTGTATTTATTCCCTTCTTCTTACTGTTAACTGGACTCAAACAAGGATTTTCAAAGTGCTCTGCTATTTAAAAACTTCTCTGCTTAAAGCTACGTCTGTAGTTCTCATGCCGGAAAAGATGATTCATGGAAAGCCGCAGCACCTGAAACGAGAGCTGCCACCGCCTGCACACACCTCTGGCCAGCTGCCACCGCGAGCCTCCCAGCTCGCAACCTGTTGTACCCATGAAACCAAGACCAGGGACACGTCAAACTTCCTCCAGCAGGAAATTCGGGTCTGTCCTTCAGACCTACCACAGGACATTCCCTTCTCAGAGTACCGAGCCAGAACTAGGATCCTGGTAAACTTCCCCTGTATGTAGTGCTTTCGAACATGTGTTGCACACCGTCTACGGGCAGAGTGCGTGTGTTTTCAAACATGCCTCACATTCAGACATACAGCTATACATGCATACGTCAATCACTTTTGCAAACACGGGGTTTTTCTCGATCGCGGCAAAGACCTCTGTACGCCAGCGCTGCTTCGAACCCTGGATGTGTCTGGGAAGCCTGTCAGCGGGACCTGCGGACCAGCCTGCCCCGCGACACTGCGCACCTACGAACCAGGCTTCGTGTCACCGTAAGCACTTGCTGGTGCCACACAGCAAGTGGCAGACTGGCAGGGGTGACCTGCTGTGAGGCTGCAGTCAAGGTGGGCAGGAGACAGGCCCAGGCCAGGGCACGAAAGCAAGGGTGGTCGCAAATGACTCGGAAGCTCTTCCCAGGTGAAAGCAGCTGGCTGGTTTCTGTTCCACAGGTGTTATACCAGGTGGCCACCTGCGGACTCTGACCCGACAAGGCAGTTGTTTTTTTCACGGAAGGCTGACTCTCCGAACCTCGTGCCCTGAGCCGACCACAACTCTGACCCATCTGGGGGAGATACTGAGATCTGCAGCACAACAGACGTGGAGGACACCAGGTTGCCGGAAGGCTGAATTAAATATAGGAGCACGGGATGGATCGGTCAGCAACTGTCAGCCGTGAGGGCAGACAGAGCCCCAATATCTGCCTGCCCAGCCCCTAAGACGCCTCCAGAGAGCCTTTTCTGGCTGCCCCTTGCCTGCTGTGGCACCCCGGTTGTTGTGCTGTGAGCTCCCCAGAGGCTCTCCTGAGGCCGGGCAAGACCTTATTTTCTTAGGCACTGTAGCCTTTCGCTGGCTGCTGTTTTTAAAGCGTTGCTGTATTTTAAATCTTTGAATTGCTCCTGCGCTTCCTTCTGGTTTCACATCGTATCTTTAATCGTTGTATTCACTGTATTGGGTTCTGCATTAGGATCCTACGCCAGTTTTTCTGGGCTGCATCTCCGTCGTTGCGAACGGCGGCGAACTTGCACGGCTGCAAGGCAAAACGCGACGCGCCGCGGCCGCCGCCCGGCTTGGCCGCCCGACCCGCAGCCTCTCCCTGGCCGAGGCGGGAGCGGGAGGCCCAGGCGGCCGCCGCTCGGCTCGCTCCTTCGCACAACCCGGGCGCGGGCGCCGCGGGGCCACTGGCGGCCGCGGGATCCCGGCGCCTCCGCTCCCGCC